CCTCCTGCGTAGAGAAGACGACAAAACAATCATCTACATATCTGCAGTAGAGTAGTGGCCGGAGATCGAGAACAGGGGCTCCTATCTTAGACATAAACACAATGGCCAGGTTTGGTGCCAATCGCTGTCCCATTGCCAACCTCCTTATTTGGGCGAAATATTTCCCAGACCATCTGAAAATCGAGCAGTTTAGGCACTCCTTTAAGAGAGCCATTAGCTGCTGGATGGACAAGCCATGCATATTTATTCTTCCTTCATGTTCAACAAGAAGTTCAAAGATGGCTTGCATTGCGGAGTCATTCGATACGTTGCTGTACAGTGCGGTAACGTCGAAAGACTCCATCACGTACGCGTTATTAGGAAACGCGTTACGTAGACGTTCTAGGAACATTTGGGTGTTTGTGAGGTGAGCTGGAATGTGGTTAAGCAACTGGGTAAGTATCAGGCTTAAAAACCAGGTTAACCTTAACCCTTTATAACCTTACAACGAAAATTCGAAAACCTTTTGGGTAATTCACACGTCTCAGCTTCAAGAAACAACCGCAAACGAATTACTTACGTTTCTGATAATAGTCAAAATGGGGTTGATAATGCACCAAGAAAATCTAAGGTCACCGTGATTGGGGGCCTAACAATACCTGAGAATGCGCGCTCGCTATTAGAATTGGGCCCAAGTTTTGCACCATCACAGCCCATTTCTAAAACGACCCTGCGTAGGATAGCATGCAACCTTTATGAGCTTCAAGATCGACTCCGCTATCAGGCCAAGCAAGAAACATCAAATAGAGATAAAAATCAAGAAGCGGCGACACTACCACCATCTGCTTTCCCAAAAAAGTTCTTTAGACAGCAGGACCCTAACGATGGAGTAGACATAAAATTCCGCATGTTTTCGGACGGCGTTCTCAAGACCTTTGATCACTACCGCGATAGAAAGTTTATCGCTAACCTTATAGCCGCACAAAAATGTGGCATGCGGGAAATTAGAGAATTAATAAACTCGAAAACAATAAGATTGCCTGTTAGTGATAAGGGGGGAGAGTTCGTAGTTATCCCTCGCCAGCTGGATGTTGAGATAACAGAGGAACATCTTAGTGATGCTACTCTCTATCGCCCATCCTCTGAAAAGGAATATAAAAGTCAATACCGAAAACTAAACAATCAATGGGTCAGCGTGGCTGCGGCTTTAAAATCATCGGTTATTTCGCATTTTAAAATCGATAGACCAACATGTCCCGTCCTATACCTACTTATTAAAACACATAAGTTGGTATCACCTGACGATCATGCGTCAACCAATCCGTCATCATTTAAGGTTAGACCGATCATCAGCTGTGTAGACGGGCCAACGGATAGAATAACCTGGTTTTTAAGCCTGATACTTACCCAGTTGCTTAACCACATTCCAGTTCACCTCACAAACACCNGCGACACTACCACCATCTCCTTTCCCAAAAACGTTCTTTAGACAGCAGGACCCTAACGATGGAGTAGACATAAAATTCCGCATGTTTTCGGACGGCGTTCTCAAGACCTTTGATCAC